TATGGAAAAAAATCATTTTATTTCAAACCACGTCCATTTCCTTTTTTCCCTTCAGCTCTGTTTACATTTTTACTATTTTTAATGTGGAAAAATCCTTTTATTTAAATCTACACCCCTTTCCTTTTTTCCCCCTCAGCTCTGTTTACATTGTTTGCGCGCAATAAAGTTTTTTTTTTTTTATCCGGGTACAGAGTTTTCCGGAAGTGAGGTGGCGGAAGTAGGGAGGAAGCGGCGCTAAGGCTGTGTGGCGTGCTGGTTGAAGATGGCGGCGGGACCGATTTCGGAGCGGAACCAGGGTGAGATAAATGTGGCCACGGAGGGAGGTACCGGTGGGCTTTACGGTCCGGACTGCTGTAGAATTAGGAGCGGTGTTTTGGCCCTCTGTACGTAGCAACCAGCGCCGCTCTGAGGAAAGGAGGTGCCAGTGAACTGGTTGCTACAGGCAACGGCTTTCAGTGTGCGGCCTATGAAGGAGAAGGGGGGGGGGGAGTTGTCCATACGCACACAGGGGCCAGTCCCTGCCCACACAGGGCCCTGCAATCTGCCTGGCCATTGGAAGAGTAATGAGAAGCTGACTGCATTCTGAAAATACCATTTGCCTGGCTGTGAGTGGATTTTCACGCTGGAAAATGGCCCACCTGCTGCCAATGGGTGTCGGAGCTCCTGATCTGAAGCCGGTGTGGCAGCCAGGCAGGCAGGTAGCATTTCTCAGAAGGCAGCCCACAGTGGCATCTAAGGGGCCTAGACAGCCCTGGGAATGGAGCGCTCCCACCATAAGGGGATCTCCTATAGCGACGGGCCGATATCCCTTTCTGCAGAGTCACGCCACGGTCTGCCTTGTACAGGCCATTTATAAAATGCAGGCTGTGGAGTGATTGCAGAAGTGGCCTGGTCTGGTCACATGACTGTCCACGTATCACGTGACCAGGCTTCCCTCATTTCCTTCAAGGATAGCTAAAGGCTCAACTTTTTATTTATGTTGGTTTTGGATCGGGCGGCAAAGGATCAGACCCCCTCTCAGTTTTTATTGCTGCCTGTGTCCCTGTTAACGTGGAGTTCCCCCTGGAAAAAATTAAAGTCAGTAGCTACAAAATCTGTAGCTGCTGACTTTTAAAATACTGACACCTGTCCCACGATCCAGCGGTGTCCTCACCATGGCTGGTTTCACCGGCCGTCTTCTCTCCCCGGAGCCGGCATCTTCAGTGTGGACACCCGGCTGTGACAGTGTGGCCAAAAAAATAAAAAAAAACCCCCTTTAACAAAACACTCCAAAAACGCACTGCATAACAGACAAAGTGCAGGCTGCATTGGTGTGAACCAGGCCTGAAATGCTTTGAAAACACAGCAAAAAAGCACACGTGTCACATGGTCTATGTAGGTCAAACCATAAATGTAAAATCGCGCAGTTATCGGCACCTTTTCTCCTATCGGCAGACAACACTATTTTCGGCCGCCGATCTATCGGTGCCACCATAGAAAAAAAAAAACGAGAAAAAAGAATAGTACAGGAAAATGGACATCAGCTTAGCAATCCTGATCAGTGCTGGCATGCAGAACAGCCTAAGACATATTAATAACCACTGTACAGCAGGGGCGGGCTGACCATTCGAGCACTCGGGCACTGCCCGAGGGCCTGGGGTCAGTAGGGGGCCCCATGAAATGTCCTTTGTTACCTTTTTATAGGCTTTTTTGAGCGTGGGCAAGGACATGGCCCCCCAATCCCCTATTGCCCGGGGGGGCCCCATGAGTTGTCAGTCCACCCCTGCTGTGCAGTCTGCATCATCAAGGACATACCTATTGCACTAGGCTGATTATCACAGTACACATTTCGGAAGGGACACTCATTTTAGAGCAGCCTTTCTCAACCAGGGTGCCTTGAGGTTTCTTCAGGGGTGCCCTGGCAAAATGTTTAAAAATTGCTCAAAACTTGTATACAAGCCAGCGGGTGGAACAAGCCCGCCTTTTAGTTACACAAAGCCACAGGTTTTTATTGTGCACCATTACGACCTTCTAGCCGCCGGCATCCTGACAACCAATGACATCATCAGTTGATAAGGAGGATGTCAGCTGCCTTTACAGCATACTAGTTTGACCCTCCCCTGCCCCTCTCTCTTAGTCCTGGGGTCATATTAGCTCAGTGATGGATTAAAATTGAGGGAGAAGAGAAACATTGGAATACTAGTCAGCAGGGGCGGACTGACCATTTGGAAACTTGGGCACTGCCCGAGGGCCCGGGGTCAGTAGGGGGCCCCATGAGATGCCCCTGGTACCTTTTTCATAGGCTTTTTTGAGTTTGGGCAAGGACACAGGGGCCCCATGATCCTCTATTGCCTGGGGGCCCCATGAGTTGTCAGTCCGCCCCTGCTAGTCTGTACCAGTGTGCAAAAGTGTATTTTCTTTGGAAGAATAAATCGCCTCTAATGTTGGGTGTCCTACATGTGTGGATGTTGCTATCACAAGGGTGCTTGTTCGTAAAGGGGAATTAGCTCAAATGGTAGAGCACTTGCTTGGCATGCGAGAGGTAGCGGGATCAATGCCCGCATTCTCCATTAAGCAAATGGCCCTGTTGTGTTAGCAAAAAAGTTAAAAATTAAAATTAAAAAATATATATAGGGCAGCACAGTGGCTAAAATGGTTAGCACTTCCGCCTGGCAGTATTAGGGTCGTTGGTTCGAATCCCAGCCACGGCACCACCTGCCTGGAGTTTGCATGTTCTCCCTGTGCCTGCGTGGGTTTCCTCCGGGTACTTCGGTTTCCTCCTACACCAAAGACATGCTGGTCCTGTCTAAATTGGCCCTAATATATGTATGTATGAATGTGAGTTAGGGACCTTAGATTGTACACCCGTTGATGGTTAGGGACTGATGTGAATGTACAATATATATGTGTGAAGCACTGCGTAAATTAACGGCAGTATATAAGTACCTGAAATAAATAAATGTGTGTGTCTGCGTGTATAAAACAAAAAAAGTGTAATGCTCCAATAGACCCTTATGTCTCCATAAAAGAGTACCTGTCAGCTGGCCAGAGCTATGACATGGGGGCTTGTTAGCCCCTTGTGAAAGCAATAAAATAAAAATTGTATAAAAAAAAGAAAAGTAAGTTAGTTTAAGCATTTTTTAAAGCGCCACCACCCTCCTGCACTCAGCACAAATGCAAACATGCGCATAGGTCTGGCATGCATATGTAAACTGTGATTGCGCCGCACGTGAGGTCTCACCTCAAGCATCAGTGAGAGCAATAATTCTCGAGCCATCTTTTGCAATCAAAGTAATTTTTAAAAAAAATCATATTTTTTACATTAAAATAAACATGTTGTACTTACCTGCTCTGTGTAATGGTTTTGCACAGAGCAGCACTGATCCTTCTGTTCTCAGCTCTCCCACCGGTGCTCCTGGCTCCTCCTCTATAGTGAGTGCCCCCATAGGAAACGGCTTCCTATGTGGGCACTCATGCAGGCTCATTCCCGACTTTTAAGCCCTGCTGCTGTGGCCATAGACACAGACACCAAGACATGACCCTACTCTCTTGTCACAGAGTTTGACAGCAGTGGGAGCCAATGGCTATTGATCTGCCCTGCGAGAAGGGGCAGGGAGAGCCGCTGCTCTCTTGCGCAACACTGGATAGCAATAGGGCTCAGGCAAGTATGGGGGGCTGGGATCCCAGACTTATTTTTGTTACTTTTTTAAAGCGGTTGTAAAGGCTGAAGGTTTTTTATTTTCATGCATTCTATCATACACATCATCTTTCATATTTTCCAAAAAATGAGGATTGGTGTGTGGTTTTTTTTTTTTTATTCATTATAGTGTATTTTTTTTCCCCAAAAAAATTGCATTTGAAAAATATATTCATTTTTTAAAACTGTCCATTTCAGTTTTCAGCCAAGTGCATCCTGAATTTTTGGTTTCAGCACCAGAATTTTCATTTCAGTGCACCACTACCTGCGACCAAAAAATTCCAACGCATTTTAATAACTTTATCTTCCTCAGGGACAAGGGTCTGCATTTCTGCAATAAAGTTAAACCGGATTATAATGGCATCAGAATATGGTGTTACAAATTGTATGCCGGCAATACACTTGCATGTCTAGTGTACATTATTATTATTATACAGGATTTATATAGCGCCAACAGTTTGCTCAGCGCTTTACAATATAACGGGAGACAATACAGTAACAATACAGTTCAATACAAGAGGGATAGGAGAGCCTGATCCTGGGAGCTTACAATCTAGGAGGGAGGGGCTAGTGATACAAAAGGTAGTAACTGTGGGGGATGGACTGGTTGGAAGAGTAGAAGATTCCATTATTAGCTGAGGGCAGGATAGGCTTCCCTGAAGAGAGAGATTTTCAGAGATCGCCTAAAAGTGAGCAGAGTAGTCGATAGTCTGATAGATTGGGGTAGTAGTAAGTGAGTTCCAGGGGATGGGGGAAGCTCTGGGGAAGTCCTGGAGACGAGCATGGGAGGAGGAGGCAAGGGAGCTTTAGAGTAGGAGGTCTTGCGAGGAGTGGAGAGTACGGTTTGGGTGATATTTGGAGACAAGATTGGTGATGTAATTTGGGGCAGAGTTATAAAAGGCTTTATACGTTATTGTTAGTGGTTTGAATTTTATCCGTTGGGAAATGGGAAGCCAGTGGAGGGATTGGCAGAGAGGAGTGGAGGGATTGGCAGAGAGGGGTGGAGGACACTGAGTGGAAGCCAGTGGAGGGATTGGCAGAGAGGGATGGAGGGATTGGCAGAGAGGGGTGGAGGCCAGTGGAGGGATTGGCAGAGAGGGGTGGAGGACACTGAGTGGAAGCCAGTGGAGGGATTGGCAGAGAGGGTGGAGGCCAGTGGAGGGACTGGCAGAGAGGGGTGGAGGACAATGAGTGGAAGCCAGTGGAGGGATTGGCAGAGAGGGTGGAAGCCAGTGGAGGGATTGGCAGAGAGGGGTGGAGGCCAGTGGAGGGATTGGCAGAGAGGGGTGGAGGACACTGAGTGGAGGCCAGTGGAGGGATTGGCAGAGAGGGGTGGAGGACACTGAGTGGAGGCCAGTGGAGGGATTGGCAGAGAGGGGTGGAGGACACTGAGTGGAGGCCAGTGGAGGGATTGGCAGAGAGGGGTGGAGGACACTGAGTGGAGGGATTGGCAGAGAGGGGTGGAGGACACTGAGTGGAGGCCAGTGGAGGGATTGGCAGAGAGGGGTGGAGGACACTGAGTGGAGGCCAGTGGAGGGATTGGCAGAGAGGGGTGGAGGACACTGAATGGAGGCCAGTGGAGGGATTGGTAGAGAGGGATGGCAGATACAGAACGGTTAGTAAGGTGGATGAGTCTGGCAGCAGCATTCATAATAGACTGAAGAGGGGATAGCCTGCGATGAGGTCGGCAAATGAGGAGGGAGTTAGAATAGTCGAGGCGAGATATAACAAGGGAGTGAATAAGTTGCTTAAACACTTATATCAGCCATAATAAAAAGGTACGTCACTCTTCTAGCCCACCGTTGTGAATTCAAGTCCCAGGAGGTGTCACATGAGTGCATAGGGATTGCGGACAACCTTGAGTCACTGTAAACAGTAATACAGGGCCCTTCGGTTTTATTTGCTGAGTCCAAACTATATTATCATCTTTGTATTTGTAGGAGGTAAAGATATAATACTGGAAGTATAAAGGGTTTTTAAAATGGGTATTTGCATTCTGCATCTATATATAGATTTGGGCCCTACAGATCTACTCACACTTTTTTTTATAATGTCTCAAGGTTGTCCGTGACCCCTATGTGCTCACGTGGTGCCTCCTTGTTTATGTATAGCTGTAGGACCGAAGTACAAAAATAGATGCCAGTATACAAATACCTATTATTAAAGCTTATTATACTTCCAAAGAAGATAGAGTATCATATCTTTACCTCCTACAAATAATTTCAAAAGATAATGTATATAGTTTGGAAAACGCAAATCAAAAGGGCCTTGTTTTACTGTTCAGTGACTCAAGGCTGATGGGGATCCCTCTGTGCTCATGTGGTGCTTCCTAGGGGTTGCATTTAAATAAAGTTTACTTAAATTTTAAAAACAAAGCTTTTTTTTAAGCTACCCTCTTCCATGTCCTCGCAAATAGCAACACACATGTTCATTAGTGTACAAAAATAATACCGCCACACACATTGGGTATTCCCACCCATGCAAGAATAGAACAATAATTCTTGGGCCCTCATTCATACTTAACTTTAAATTGATGACCTGTAAAGCAGGGGTGCTTAACCTGTGATCCATAGGCCACATGTGGCCACTGCAGCCCTCTGAGGTGGCCCTTGACCGCAAACCAGAGAAGCGCACTTTTGTTAAATCCCGCAGGATTGGGGCACTTTCAGAAAGTGCACCATATGTGCAAGATATAATAGATGTCTATGGCAAAGCACAGCTAACCTGCAGGAAAACCACAGGTGCTCTGCAGTGCAGGTAAGCCCCAGCGCATCAATGTGAAAACAACATTATAGGGGGGCTTAGAACAGTAAGAGCTCGTTTACATTTGCAGTTTGGGGGGGGGGGTAAAGCCCCAAAGTTGAGACATGTTTTTGTCACTCCCAAGCACTGGTGTAGTATCAGAGGTCACAGTGGCAACCCCGTCCTATGCTCCAGGGGGCCCGCACGGCCTCCCTGTCACATTTTGTTTGACACTTGGACAGGATGGGTGGCGGGGGTGGCATATACAGGAACTGATCCCCTCCATTTTCCTCCTGAAACCTCTGAAAGCCAGCTGCTGCTCCTCTCTCTGCCCCCAGCATTTAGGCTAGGTTCACATATGTGCCGCTGCGGATCCGCACAAAAATTCGTGCAGCCGCACTACCCACACAGAAGAATGCGGACCCGTTGGCGGGTGCCGTTAATTCTAATGCACAGCGCCCGCACTGGAAATCGCAACCGTACTGGGAACCAAGGTTCCCGTGCGGGCTGCGTTTTCAGAAGAAGTGCAGGAACTTCTTCCCTGCGTGTCCCAGGGCACGTGAGTCCATTCAAATGAATGGGCTCTTGTGCCCGTGCAATACGCGGCCTGCAGGACCGTGGATATGTGAACCCGGGGGTAAGTGGCTGCAGAAGGAAAATGTTTATGCTATTCAAAATTTTGAACCATTTCATTTCATTGTGACCAGTTACCAGATCACTTTAGTGGCCCCCTATAGACAAGTGCAACTGTCACCATTTTATTTTACAGGATCTCTGCTTTCAGAAAATTTTTAATGGGGTGGCAAAAAAATAAAAATAACAGACAAACACACTTCTGCAGCAAAAAAGCCAATGAAAAAAATGTAATTTTTCAGTGGCTGCCCACATCTTTGGATCTAATGTTCGTTGTGATGTGATTTTCTGGTACCCTCATTTGTTTGTATTGCCCAAGTTTGTGTTCAGTTTCCGTTTTAAAGGGATTTCATATTGAGCAAAGTTCTCTAAGAAGCAGCTTCCACCTTCTACAGCACTGGTGCTGCAAACTAGTTCCAGGGTAGTGAAGGCAAACCTAATCAGTTTAATTTCTGATGGCGTTAACTAGGGATGCACCGAAATGTCGGAAGGGATGCATGCATTTCTTGTGATAAGAATAAAAGTGATTAAAAAAAAAAAAACTTTAAAGGAACAGTGCAAAAGAAAAAAACATTAAATACATTTTTTAAAGAAGTTTAAAGTCCCCCCCCGTGCTTGCACATAGTAGTGAACGCATACGTAGGCCGTACATATGTAAATGATGTTCAAACCACACATGAGGTATCTCCATGAACGTCGGAGCAAGAGAAATAATTCTCACACTAGACCTCCTCTGTAACTTTACACTGCTACCCTGTAAAAATTTTTAAAGCATCGCCCATGGAGATTAAGTACCGCAGTTTCACGCCATTCCACGAGCGTGCACAATTTTAAAGCGTGACGTGTTTGGTATCTATTTACTCGCTGTAACATCCTCTCTCATATTTTACAAAAATTTGGGGTATATATATATATATATTTTTTTTTTTTTTAATCAGTGTATTTTTTCCCCAAAAATATATATTTTTTAAAAACTGCGCGTTTCGGTTTTCGGTTTTGGTACCAGAATTTTCCTTCCGGTGCACCACTAGCCTTAACTTTCTGGAATGATATGTGGCATCGGGATGTAAACTGCATCTGTCAGATGTTTGGAAGATTGGTGCATTCATAATCCTTTGACCTAGAAATATAATTAACTTGTATACATTCTGCATACAAAGCAAAGGTTGGTTAAAGTTCATGTGTCCTTTGTGCTGTTTTGGTCTCTCCTAGACGCCACAGTCTATGTCGGAGGATTGGACGAGAAGGTAACCGAGCCGCTACTATGGGAGCTGTTTCTGCAAGCCGGGCCAGTGGTAAACACTCACATGCCCAAGGACCGGGTCACAGGGCAGCATCAAGGTGAGGGCAATATATGGCTGGTGTCTATTGGTTTCCTGTGTAAAAGTACAAATACCAGAATTCGCATGTTCTGCGCTTGAAACGTCTCTTTATAGACCAGTAAAAGCTCCTTGTATGATTTTTATCAACTATATGGTGTATCTTTGGCAGTAGCCTTTAGCATTGGATTTCTACTAGAGATGGTGCTTATTTTCTTCAAATTTTTGACTTGGGCAATGTAAGCCAGTAAAATTTAAAAGTGCCTGTAAACACTACATCCAAACATATCTTGAAGTGAAATTAATTCTTAACTATTATCCCCCATAATTACATGCACTCCTTAAAGTGGTTCTAAAGGCAGAAGATTTTTTTTTACCTTTAATGCATTTTCTGCTTTAAGGTAAAAACGCTGAGTGCAGCTCGCCCCCAACCCACACCCCTTATACTTGCTTGGGCCCCATCTCGATCCAAAGCCCCATCTCAGGTCTTTCTTTCTTCATTGGCTCACACAGCAGTGGGAGCCATTGGCTCCTGCTGCTGTCAAGTCGCAACCAGCGAGCCAGTGAGGAGAGAGCGGCGGGAAGAGACAAGCGTTGTGTGTGAATGGACAATGTGCATTCACAGGAGCATGGCTCGGGAGAAAGCCTGCTTGAGTGCCCCCATAGCGAGTGACTTGCTCCTGAGGGCATTTGGCGGGTGGGAGGAGATAGGACTGCTGTCAGGGCACCTAAATAGAAGAGGATCAGGGCTGCTCTGTACAATACCATTGCATAGAGCAAGTAAGTTTAACATGTTTGTTATTTGAAAAGAAAAAATTAAAACCTTTACGATAACTTTAAAGCCTAACTCCAGCTTTGTGGCACTTTAAAATGTTAAAATGTTTTTTTTTTGGACCAGACTGGTGGCAACACAATGTCATATTTAACACAACATAATGTAAAAGAGGTGCGTTTTAGAACTAGCTGAATTTGGTGCACGAGTTGCTGTCAGAACCAAAAGTGTTGCAAATGCTTCATGAATTTGGCACAGTACATTAAAGCGGAGTGATGCTCACCTCTGATACAGCGATGTGGCATCCCCGAGTTCCCCACCCGGCCCCTGACATCTTCTGATGGCCAGCTTCCAGGTCTTGATCGCCAGCCGCTGTCATTGGCTGGTTTGGGGTGAGGTCAGTCCAATGCATGTTCAGGATTTCAGTCAGATTCGGCATTGCCGAATTTGTACAGTAAGCTGTGTGTTTGTGTGCGACGGGCGGACAAGAAGGTAAATCGGTTTAATGCAGAAGAGCCAAAGCATGTCTCTTCTGCATTAAAAATCCTTCCTGTCCGCCAATTTTAATTCTTAAGCCTAAAGTTCCACTTTACCCAGATGGATTGACATCAGAAAAGTGGCTCACCAGGTTTGTTGAATTCCCTTCCCAATGTGTTAATAAGTCGCACAGTTCAGACAAGTCAACATGTCCTGTACAACCAACCCACCCCTCCCCGTAGTCATGTAGGACACGACAGGTTCCAGAAGACTACGGGGCCATTCACAAAGCGCAGCGCTTCATGCGCAGTGGGCACCCCGGCTGTGAAGCCGCCAGCTGTCACATCAGGTTGCCCACACTAAAGATGCCAGCGCCTGAGAGAGAAGACGGCCAGTGAAACCAGCGGTGGTGAGGACACTGCTGGACCAAGGGACAGGTAAGTGTCTGTATTGTAACAGTCAGCAGCTACAGTTTTTGTAGTCGCTGACTTTTTTTTTTTTTTCTTCAGCTGGAACTCTGCTTTAATGTAATGCCCTCATTACACGAGACGCAAGCCAATCTAGTCCAGCCAATAGAAAAGGCTCCACCTCCGGAACATCGCCAAGATACGCTCCTTCCTTACCCCAGACACCACTAAACTACTCGTACACTCCCTGATTATCTCACGCCTTGACTACTGCAACTCTCTCCTCACCGGCCTACCCCAGTGCAGGCTCTCCCCGCTTCAGACCATCCTGAACTCAGTGGCCAGACTCATCCACCTCACCAGCCGCTCC